TGTTTATTAAACAAGGTGACATGCAGTATTATGGTGCTACAAACTACATATGAAGGTACAAAAGTGTTATATTTATATTATGCAATCTTGGGATAGTTCTGTTAAAAGCAAGAATCACCACTACAAATGCTCCAACTGTCTTTAGCTCTGTTATGGTCTTCTCAGGTACCCTGCTATTTTACCTGCCACATGGTACAATGTTTGTGGCAGTCAAAACACTATAATATAATGTTACAAAAAATATAGGAAAGAATATTCACTTCTGTGTCTCTGATGCCTCCTTCAGTTTATAGCAGATCTCTGAGTTACGGATGTATTTGATGGAGGCAGGCATAAGATTGTTGATTTGTGGTATTCTGTTTGTTTGGAACACTTGAAAAAGCACATTGTTTCCCTACACATATTTTCCTATTTTATATTAACAGCACTTTGAAGAATATGGCTTTCATGTGTATATTTCCTAAAATCACATTTTCATTTATAAAATATCCAATTTTAGATCATATTTGAGAAGTTCTATGTTCATTCATGAAGATTCTGTTTACCAGCCTTATACATTTCTACTGTGTGAAATATGTGTCTAATTAACTCACAATTTCTGATATTAATTTTAGTAAAAAATTAATACATTATTTGGTAACCAATATATGATATTTATATTCAATCAAATACTTCTTGCCATAAAGAAGCATAAACCTGAGTCAACTGTAAGACAATGGATATACTTGAGACTATAATGTTAAGTGAAATAAATCTGGCATGCAAGCTTAATATTGCATAATTTCTTTTATGTAAGAAAGCAAACATGTAAATAAAATAAGGAACAAAGCAAAAAGTAATAGGAAACAGGAAGACAGATCATTTGTCAAAGAGAATGGACTGAGAGACCGAGGGCATGAGATGTGTTATATACATGTACCAACTAGCCCATAATGAAATTATCATTATGTATTACAGACATATACTAATAAAAATTAAATTAAAGTGTATGTAACACTGCAGCACAGTAAAAAATGTGATTTATTTTGTTGAATTTAATGCAAGTGCTGTGTTTTAGGGACAGTGGCTTTAAAAAATCAAAATAAATGTTTTACATTTTTGCATTATAATAGATAAACACATTTCATAAAACTTAAAGATAATTTGCTATGCAACTGAAAGTAAGCATATTAGAATATTAAAAATTTATATACCTATTCATTGTAATGTAATCTGTATGATATGAACATACAGATAGAAAATATCTTAGTTGAAATTAGAATATGTATTTATGTTGCAAAAACAAATGATTTTGGGATTTAAAGAAAAAATAACAGAAAAGAAAGTAAGAATGTTCTTCATTCCAGAAATGAGAGCAATCATTCTGCAAAGAAATTACAATTTTTAAAATTTCTATAATCACATTTACTCTGAGTTCCAAACCATGTTCTGGTTATCTGTAGAAACGTAGTATTGTTGGATTTATCCCAGTTAATAACGTCAGACCCTGTGGAAACATTTCAACACAGATGCTTGGGTGGTGGCCTTTGTCACCATCTCTGCTTTGCCTCCTAATGTTTGATCCACTTGAGACACTGAAGTTGAAAGGAAGTGCAGATTATGGTCCCAAAAGATGTTAAGAATGACAAATGGTAAGGATCTGGAAATATAGGAATCACTGATGGACTAAGAGAATTTTACAGCACACTGAGTCCCAGGAAATGACAGATATAAAAATGAGAAAGATACCCTAGATTTTTATATAATTTAGAAAATAGAACCTGTGCATAGAAATGATAGACAAATAGGTAGATAGATAGATAGATAGATAGATAGATAGATAGATAGATGATTTACTATGAGCATTATTTTTAGATTTACTATTTACATTTACTATGAGCATTATTTGTAATTTTGTGCTTTTAATGTATTTTTAGATTTTGTAGATGACCCTAGCTGAGCATTATCAAGAGTTTATAAATTTGTTATCATTCCCAACTTAACTTTGTTTTATTACTTATTCTTTTTATCATAAATAATTTTTCTAATTCCTTCTGATGAGACTCTTCAAAGATAGAGGCCTGTTCCTTAATCTTCTATTTATTATCTTGTAAATTCTTAGAAAACTAACTAGTACAGGACAGGCCAATAATAATGAAACTAAGAATTTGAAATTGCTCTCAAATGCATGTAGATACCTATTTCTTACAACAATCTCCTAATTAAGTCAGATGTTATCGGTGTTTACATAGGAATAAACTGAGATTCACAGATTTTAAGTGAGGAGGCTGGAGACAAGTGTTCCTAAATGATGGAGTTAGTACCTCAGTTTCCTCTCATTTAAATTTAAAATTTAGTGGCTGGGGATATAGCTCAGTGGCATAAACACCTGCCTGGTAAGTATGAGGTTGTGCGTTTGATCTCTGGTACCACAAAAAAAAAAAAAAAAAAAAAAAAAAAAAAAAAAGAAAGAAAGAAAAGAAAAGAAATATAGAAATGTAAAGCTTATTTGTCATATCATCTTGACTTTTTAAAACTAGTGTATGCTAGAGAGTAAGGCATCATTTACTTTGTACCATGTTGCATTATGCTACATATTTTCATTTTTAATAATGGATCCTCCTCACCCTCAGTGGACATTATGTCTTCATTTTAGTTGATGTATTGATTTAGCCTGAATGGTTTCTTCTGTGTGACATTACTGATAAAGAAAAGAGCCACAATGCAAACCTAAAACTAAATAAAAACTTCTTTTATGAGATCAGGAATTAAATTATACTGAAAATAAAAGTTTATGATTCTATTGAGCACTTGAGGTGGAAATCTGATTTGTTTCTGGAAAATAAATGTAAAGCCATTCCTTAGCTAATTTATGTGTTTCCTTTGACATTAGAAGAATAAGAATTGGAGATTTTTGAAAATATAAGTATGAAGAAAAGTTGATGGCATTTGAAAAATGCTCTTTCAATGTTAACAACAGCAAACCTGTAGAAAAAAAAATCAGATATTTAATGGACTAAGGAATAAACTAACTTTTGATACACAGGGGAGAAGTTACTTCTTCTTCTTAAGGATGGTGTACCATAGACTGTTCTCCAAAAACAGCATTTTGTTCTGCAAGCCTTCAGAATATTTAGTCATTATTACGGAACAGAGAGACAACCAAAACTACCTAGACACTGTTGGCTTTATTAATGTATATAGTTTCATATATCCATTAGACAGCAAATTCTTATAATAACCCTCCAGCACAATTAAGTAATGAAAAACAACATGGAACAATCAACGAAACCCAGAGTTATAGACATCTCTTTTCTGGCTTTATTGATACACAAAATTTGGTAAAATATTGTTGTTTGTTTAATTCTCTTCCATTCTGATAAATTTTATTTTTCTTTACATGCTCCTGTTTATCCCTTCCTGCCATTTCTCTAGAATATTGGAGCCCCACCTATGCCCAGATACCTTTGGTTGCATTTGTTTTCTCCATCAAAGTTATTCTAATGTTAGGATCATAAGTGGCAGCTTAGTTATAAAACAGTTTCTCTGGCATTGCATGCTAACTAGTGAAAGTGTTTCTGAAATAGCACTTGCTGTGCAACTCTAGAGCTACGTTTGCAGGATTTTTTTTTTCAATTACAACAAATGCTAAAATTTTATGTGTTAGAATATGATATGTTTTAGTAGGGAATGTTTTCATGGATTATCATTAATATTATTAACAATAAACATTTCTTAATATTATTCTTTGCTATGAGTGATTTTATGTATTAATGCTAATAATATGAATGCTTATATGAATGTTCCATATTAATTGTAATGTATGGAATACTCTTTCTCCAAAGCAGAATGTATGGTTGTACATTATATTATATAATGCATTTCAGGCATCCTTCACATGCACTGTGTTGGGCAATTACTTACTCTATCCTGCTGTAAAGCCAACTATTCTCCCAGCTCTAAGATTCATTAGAGAGCCCAGCTGCTGGCCTAACAGGCATGTATCCAGTTGGCTATTAGCTATAGTTCTCAGTGCCAGAATATGACAGGACCCTCTCCAAGCTGTTTGGTAAAATGCAGATTAGAATTACATAAAATAACTGCTTTCTTTTCCCTATAGAAATATGTCATGAGAAAAAATGAGATAATTAAGAGGACTTTGAAATCCTAAAAAGAAAATGCATTCTATTTGCTCAGGCTATTGTGGTTTTAGTATTATTAATAATTGCTACATTAAAACTTGCCTAATGGTAAGGTCTGCCACATCAGTACTGCTGGATTTGAGCATAAAGATTCTGCAAAATTTGTTACAGTTTGTTTCTAAACTACCAAGATATGGTGGGATTTCTCCTTTCATTGAATTTCTTTTTTTTTTTTTTTAATCAGTAATAGGGATCAAACTGATGATCACGTGCTTGCAAGTCAGGCACTTATGCCACTGAGCTAAATCCCCAGCCCCTCCTTTCATTGAATTTGAAGATGTGGAATTGCTTCACCTTCTAAGTTGGTTTGTAATATAAACAATTTACTTGGTAAATAAAGGATATTTTTCACAGCTGACATGCAATACTTTCCCATAGAAATGTTGACTAAATTGTGAATTCATAAGGAGACATGTACTAAGGTACTGTTTTTTTTTTTTATTTTCAAAGAATACACGAATGCCTAGTTTGTTTTTATTTATATTGTTTATCTTCTCTACAAAATGATAAAGAGGTCACAAATTGCCAAAAGGGAAAAACATACATGAATAGTAGCTTGTGATAAAAGCTTATGAATGGAAAAAAATAAAATAGAAAACTTGCTATAAAAAGACCTCAAATTATATTAATTTAAAAAAGGTAAATGGCGGTCATGAGTTCGATCCCCGGTACCGATAAAAAAATGAAAAAGACAAAAAAAAAAAAAAAAAAAAAAAAAAAAAGGTAAATGGCTTTTTTTCTTTTTGTGTATACAGAAGGCAGAAAAAAATTTGAACTTTTTGGTAATCTGAGGCTTTCTCACATTCATATTTTTTTTAGATTAACTATCCTACTTCCCCAGCTGCCTAAATCCTCCAGGGAGACACCAGTGAAGACCATTCAAGCCAAGAGCATAGCGTGGCCAAGGTAGGAGGCGTTACTTTAACTTCAAGGCAGTCATTTTTTTTTTTTTTTTTTTTGCACTTTAATCACCTTCTTTTTCTTTGGATCATTTCTATCTGATGGAGAACAGTCTGCCTTCTAGAACACAGCAATGTCCTTATTATCCCTGAACAATACCCTCCCAGGAGTAGAATTTCCTCTCCTAGTATATTAAGGATTCTATTTCATGCTTGACATTTTCACTATTGATGAAAAATAGAAAAAAATTTAGTTATTCCTAATTTTCTCTGGGAAAAATAGGCTGAGTTCCATAGTGTCACAACATGTTGTTTATTTGAAATGTTAGTACATTATAAGAGCTGGAGGCACCAAATAAAGTCTTAGACAAAATTTATTCACTGGAACAAAAATACACTAAAGTTCTGATATTATCCTTTTACAGTCCTGCATCTCAATTCAAATTTGTATATCAAATGATATGCATTCAAATGCTGGAAAATTATCCTAATTATTAGTTATGACAGCATTATTTTTATATCTAGAGTCTAAGGGAAGTATCAAAATATATTCATATTGTTAGAACTCAAATTCACATTATTTTACCTGACAATGTATGACAGTTACCAAGATCTATTTTAAGAAATCTGCCTAAAACCAGAGCTACTTGTGTTTGTATTTTTAAAAACCTAGCACAAATAAAGAGTATTTATATTCTGGTAAAGAAATAAGCATGTTTCAATCATGTATGTAATTTATTATAATAAAAGAATTTATTTACTTCTGTGTTTCAGTTTTTTTGCAGGAAATTACACACTTAGGAAACTACAAATTCACTAGACTATCTTCTAGTGAAAGGCTAATACATTTTATGATTTTTTTTATGAATTCTATTTCATTGATTATGGATAAATGCTCATGGTGACATTTTTGATCAGAACTAATATGCAGAGGAAGGAAGGAGCTGAAGATCCTCTACTAAGTTCTTCCCTACTGAAAATCGTTGCAGTCATCACAGGGCATGAGTTCTAGGTTAACCTTTTTTTTTTTTTTTTAAGCTTCTTTTATAGTATGAATAATTTTAGACTGAGAACACAAGATGTCAGCAGCTGCTGACTTATATTCAAAATTTACAAGTTTTTAAAATTTATTGTTTTAAAGATTTCACTTTAATTTCTGTTCCTAAATAATGTATTCATAAATATTGGAACAAGAGCAAAACAGATGTGTATCCAAAGTCTTTTGTAATATTTGAATATTATAGTCTTATAGCCATATATTTTTCTATAATTAGACTTTGATCCAAACAGTTTTATTTTATTTTCACACAAACACATGCACACGCACACACAAATGTGTTTGAAGAAAAGGGCGAGATGGGACATGCCTGTAATCCCAGCATTCTGAAAAGTGAGACACAAGGATCTCTGCAAGTTTAAGGCCAGCTTGAGCTAAATAATGAGTTTAAGACTAGGGTGAATTACACAGCAAGACTCTATCTCAAAAAACAGAGAGAGAGGGAGAGAGAGAGACATCCAGAGAGAGAGAGAGAGACAGAGACAGAGAGAGACAGAGAGAGAGAGCATTGTATTTGAAGAAATCTCCTATGGTTCTAGGTCCATAGCAGTGTAGGCTGTTCTATGCAAAAACCTAGGGAAATTGCATTGATATTTTGTATATATGAATGGCATTTCTAGTGTGTAGCATCATTAACAAAATTGTCTCTCATACAACATGACACTGGTGTTATTATAGATTAAAAGATGAAAGGAAGGATAAATACCATTATTTCCACATTTTTTACTTGAGTAAATATATTTAGTAGAATTTTATTTCATAAATTAAAATAATTAGAAAGCAATTGGATGTTGAATTAACTAAAGACTGTAAAATGCAGTATGAACTTTGCAAATGATAATGACCTTGGAAATGATGATGCATGAGCCAACTAGTAAAGAATGAATATTAACACGGTGACAGTATGAGAAAGAAACATGAGCCAAAGCAATAATGAAAATACTGGCTTGGCTGTAATTGTGGAGTGCTAATGTGCTACTACTTTGTCTTGAATGGGTAGATTAAATCAGATGATTTAAAGTCTTAAAAACTAAATATAAAATTTGGACATGATGTAGTGAATAATGGGATCCTATCATTGATCATTCAACAGGAAGAAATAGTACTATTTTTGGAAGATTTAGTTGTTGACAAGAAGAATAGAAATTTCTGAAATAGAAGATTCTGAAGAAGTGACCATATTTCACGTATTAATAAAGAATGGATGCATGGATAGCTTGAGGACATGATGTCCTGAAGGATTTTGTCACTGAGAGAAAACCATGGAGCAGTGAAAAACAGAAAATTGAAAAAAATTCCCCCTTTCTCTTAATTTGTTTAAAACTGGAGGACTCTTTCATGTACTTGCAATAGGATAACCAGATAAGAACTTGATCGATACGTTGAAGAGAGAATGGGAGCAAATAGGAACCTATTATTCAAAGAATGTTGAAATTTTGAGTTTAGAATTCATGGATAGAACTCGGTAAAAAAAAAAAAAAAGATGAGAAAGTAGAGTTAGAAACCGCGTTTTCTAGGCATCTACTAATCAGAGGTTCCTATTTAAAAATATTATTGATTTTTAAAAATATATTAGCCTAGCCATAGAGATACGTGTAAGTTGCTTAAGTTAGAAATTACATTAGAATAACAGTGAGATTAGAAATAATATTTCTGTTATTATTGATGTAAATAATCAAATCTATTTTCTTAGGTAAAGGGCTAAAAATGGTTAAACTAAGTCATTATCAAATTATTTATATGGAATTACTTTAAGAATTACAATCACATAATTGAATACGAAGCATCTCTAAAACCTGTATTCAGTAGAAAGCATGATATATTTACATTTAAAATATTTAAAAATAAAAGCATATTTTTCTTAAGAGTAAAGAAAAATTTACTTAATCAGAATTTTTTCTTTATAACAATTGTAAACAGGGTCCTAATAAACGAACAACTGATACTCCAATTTTTGCAAATATTTTTTCAGTATGTGTTTTTTTGATTCTTTTGTACATAGAAATGTGCAAAAGAAGTGATTTTAGGACAAGTGCTAATGACTATTTTAGAATGAATATCAAATTAAACTAATATCACTGAATGTGTTAGTTAACTTTCTATCGTTGATGAGACAAAATACCCAATGCTAAAAATTAAAAAAAAAGAAAGGTATATTTAGCTCAACGTTTATCGAGGTTTCAGTGCATAATTTTCTGGCTTCAAGGCAGAGAGACACATGACAGAGGCACAGTAGTTCATAGCAATAAAGACAGCAAGAGCAAAAAAAGATGCAAGTCTATATTACTAATATTGTAGTCAGTCTACCAGGATTAAGGCAGTGCCAGTCTATCAGTGGACTGATTCAGCAATCACCCACTGTTATTCCCAGCATTGAGTACTCTAGATTTAGCCACATCTGAAAGAATATCATAACACTCAGTGAAGTTTACTGTAGACCAGCATCAATATAAAAAATTTATTTCATTTTTTATATCTTTTTAAGGATAATATCTTACTTCTTTAAATTTGCAAGTATAACTTTGAGAAGATTTAATAATATGCTCTACAGAAACTAAATCATTAAATATAGTCACAAAGTTTCAAATCTAGGAATAAACTACTTCAGTACTATTTACCTTAACCACTTTTCCATATTGTCTTTTGATGTCTAGTTCAAAAAAAAAAGAAGTTAATTACTTGAAAGGGCACTAAAATTGATCAGCATTTCTCATGAGATGAATGGAATAAAGAAGAATATAAAATTGTGTATAATCATGAAAATTTGAAATTGGAAGAAAAAACCCGAATTTGTATGACCCAAAATTTCTAAACAAAAAAAAAACTAAAAATAGAAAATGATAAAGTGGCTTTATAGAAAAATCACATCAAATGAGCATTTAATGATCTATTGGTTTTATAATCAATACATTTTTATGATATATGCTTACACTATGTAGTATAAGCATATATCATAAAATGAATTCCTCATTATAATAAAGAGATGTTTACAGACAGAAGATTACGGGGGGAAGCAAACTAAAGAATGGAGAAACTACTCATCATATATTTCATAGTGTTTCCAAAAAAAGCCAGTTTGACATTATCAATAGGTAAAATTTAATTTTAAATTCAGAGAAAAAGGGTTACTGAAGGTCTCAATGCAGCAGCATCTATGTTTGGTATTTCCACATTTATTATCTCACTTAACAGCCACAACACACTTAGGGCTATTAACAAGTACAGTTATATATGGTTAATAAGAAATGTTGTTGTCAACATACTCATTTTATAATTACCCACCAATTAACAGTTGGAAATACAATAATTAGCTTAAGTCAGTATAGTGCAGCTAGTTGTATCTTTACTTTTCATTGATGTATGTTTGATAAGAACGATAAATATTGAAGAGATATAACGTGATATATAGTCAGATTAATTAACATATCTGTCACCTTAAACTTACCTCTTTTTTATTCTTTTATTTTTCATTTATTTAACTTTTTTTTGTACTCAAAACCTGATGCTTGCCAGGCAAGTGCTTACATCACTGAGCTAAATCCCCAGCCCCTTACCTCACGTGAGTGTGTGTGTGTGTGTTTGTGGTGAGAACATTTAAAAATTGTAATAGACTTCACATATGAAATATAGTATGAGTTCCTATATTTACATGCAGTACATTAGATCTCTAGAGTTTACTCATCTTACATATCTGAAACTTTGTTTTTCTTGATAAACCTCATCCCATTTCACAAAATTCCCAGCCCTTGCCAACCAGTTGATCTTCTTATATTCTACATGTAAGTGAGATTATACAGTATTTGTCTATGTCCATGTTATTCCACTCAACATTATGTCCAGGATAATATTCCATCGTGTGTATGCATTTTGTGTGTGTGTGTGTGTGTGTGTGTGTGTGTATATATATATATATATATATATATATATATATATATATGGTTCTTTATCTA